TACCAGTGGCGTCACTAGAGGGGCGCGAGTGACACCATCGCAAGAGGTCACACCGATGCGAGTGCACGCTGCATCACAAAATGGTAGCCCACGTTTTTCTTTATTTTTAGTAATATGCTTTAACCAACGCTAAAACTACAGAGATCTCGACAAGTATCTATGATATTATGTGTTGAAATTCATTCTGTACCTTTTCAAAATGAACTTACCTTTTATTAGGTGTAGAACAGTCGTATTAGAAATTAATTCTGTGCCTTTATAAAATGAACTTACCTTTCATTAGGTGTAGAAATGAATTCTGTCCCTTTTCAAAATGAACTTAGCTTTTACTAGGTGTAGAAATGAATTCTGTCTCTTTTCAAAATGAACTTAGCTTCCATTAGATGTAGAAATGAATTCTGTGACTTTTCAAAATGAACTTACCTTTTATTAGGTGTAGAAATTAACCCTTTGCGCTCAAGTGGCGCCTCTAGGGCGACATATGTAATTTAAAAGTGACTCTTTGAACGTACAATTTCAGTTTTACTTATATCAAAATACAGCTAATTATAAATCGAAATAATAATTCATTGAGTCACGAATGTTCGTAGATGTCTATTTTCGAAGTAGAGTTTTTTGGTTTTACAGAAATTTATTATAAAAATGGACTGCATTTGATTCAGTAAAACAATGCCTCGAGGGCAAAGGGTTTATTCTGTGACTTCATCGTAATTGATAAATGTAGCTGGAAAATTTTCTCTCGAACCAATCTAATAATTTTCAAGTGCAATCATTCATAACTCTAATTTAGACAGATACATTTATTCGTTACTTTGGTACATTAACCTTCTACATCTTTAACATCTTCAGGGATGAGTTTTAAATAAATTTTTGTTTGCTCTAATCGAATGCACACAAAGCAATTTTTATGTGTAAATCGAATTTGATATACAAACACTGCCTTACTTTAATATGTTATATGTTTTCATTCTAAAAGGTACTGTGGTCGTGTGCCGTGATAATTTTAATATAAAAGCAAATGTACACGTATGTGTCTTTAAGTCTCAACCTGATGGCCATTATTACGTTGCATCTATACGAACTTTACTATCCCGAAAAGTTTGCCCATTGTTATTCTTCTAATGATAATTATTTTAATTGTCGAATAAACTTCGTATATATACATTATATGTACGTTGCAATGGTCATCAAGCTAAGACTTAGATTATGTAATATAAAAATTCATTGTAATGGAGATCAGGTTTAGAACTTAGAAGGTTGGTACTTTATAAATATTTCTACTTGAACTTAAATTATAAATAATTGAATATAAAGACACAGATATTAGTTCCTACGACTAATACATACAACTAGAACAAACTAATTTAACGATGAAATTAATTATCAATTCCAAGAGATGTTTCTAAAAATTGCGATAAAACCCTTGTTAATAATTGAGTGATTTCAAAAAGTTTAAAGTTCATGGGTCAAACTGGCTTGGTAGTGTTAGTGTTAAATATATGTTAAGGGGTAAAGCTATCAAAAATACGTTTTTACTCAAGTTTGTTCCACAAATGGGGACATTGCGTGGTGTAAATAACTTTTTAATAAGGAAAGGGTGAAAGAGATCTAGAAAATAGATTTATTTTTTGAAATATATTTATATATGTATAAGATGCAATTAAAAAAAATATACACATATATAACAAAATTGTTACAATGGATGAGCTCTTATAATAGGTAGTATTATATTTTATTATATATTAAATAATATAATTAATTATACATACATTGATCTATAATGAAATACCATCTGTGTAGACAAATTCATCGACCTACCATACGTGGTCGCTCATCAAAATGACATATGAAGTCTTAAATTGGAGTGTTTGTTCCCAGTAGATTTAGCGCAATTCGCCAGACAATCTGCGACTCCTGTTGCTACTTATCAGGGGCATCTTCATCGCATTCCATAAGATATTTAACCATTCCTTATATTTATATTTGTATACAGGCTGTATATTTTATCCCCTAATATTATTGCGGCATTTGTTTAGAGAAATTCATCGGCTTATCGTACGAGGTGATTCATGGTAATGTGGAATTTTTATTGAACGCACTTTACAGTATGTAGCTCTGGTTGCCATATATCAGAGGTATCCTCCTTGCGCCTAATAAATGGCAACCAGAAGTACAAACCGACTGAAAGGTTGCATTACATCTACTGATGTGAGTAAAAGTCCAATTTAAGCTTTCACATTACAATAAATCACCTTGTATGATAGGTATACATGATAGTCCAATGAATTTCTTTAAACAAATGCTATCTTATCATAGATAAAAATACATATAGAGTTCTATTTTTAAAAATTCAGGTATTTTTTTAAATCTCTTCAACCACTTCACTTAGCAAAAAATTATTTATTTCGTATAATGTTCCCATAAAATGTTTGTGAAAACATATACACTCCATAGTAACGCTAAACGATATCATAATAGTTCAAACTACAATAATTAAATATTTAGAAATGCATTTGGGTTCGCGGTTAAATTGGCATCCGCGTAAAAAGCAAACACATTTACTGGCCAACCAATTGCGGACTCAAAATTGAGTTTGTAAAACACAGTACTGATCTATAAAATAATTATAAAACCCATCTGAACATATCCGAAGAATGAAACTCTTTCCTAATCCACGAGGCTTGTGCACCAGTGTGCTATTTTCAAGACGCATGTGCAAGAACATCCACCCCCACCTGCCACTAAATGGCATGAGAAACTCGTAATTCAAATTTTAATGAGCTTAGCTTAGTCTATGCAATTCTTCTGTAGCATTTTGTTAGAAAATTATTATTTTTCGTGAAAATATTTGTCGCTTTCTACTAAAGCCAGGAATGGGAAAATGGTTATTTAGTATAGGTCCATGCACAAGTTTTGTAGGTTACGTTTAGATGGAGCTAGAAAACAATTTATCAGTATTATTGAAGTAATCCTAAGTATTTTTTATGTTGATATCATTGGTCAATCTGCATCTACACAAATGAATAACAGATTGTAGCTGTTGACATAACCTCGTTTTCAGTCTGATGACAATACGTACATTTCATTTGGTTAATAATGTAATTCAGCGTAAAAACCTTCAAAACGTATGATTAAACTAGTAACTCAGAAGTTTCGCTAATAAAGAAAGCCTTTCCTTATTTTAATTATTTTAATTATTATTTTCTTCATAATTGACATAGCTTATCAAAAGATTTCTTTATCCATTAACGCAATAACGTATGATCGAATTGTGAAAAGTGGAGCACGTGCAAACTTTGCCATTCCGAAGTCAATGTGAATGTTGGTTGCATTTTCTCCGATAAAACGGGCATCGTCTGTCGTCGCATCACTTGTTGCATTGTCCTGGAAATAATGAGAATGTACTGTATAAACAACTAGACATGTACACAGCCGCGACACATATACGGGGCATATGTATACGATTGCGATATCTTTGTTCGGATACATATAGGGCTGCGTTCAGAACTAGGGTAGTTCGTTCATTCACGTTTCCAACCACAAGAATATTCAGGGTGAACATAATTCCGACGAAATATGGACTGAATTTTTCTTACACTCCAAAGCCCGAAGGGATGATAACCCAGGGATAAGAAATCCCCCAACCTTTTCACGAATTCTGTTGATCATGAGTGTACGGTGTACTGGTGTACATTATTTGGAGGTTACACGTTTACAATAGGATTGGAATTATTATATTTTAAGAAATGTATATTTTATAAACAGACTGCGGATATTTGTGCATTTATGACATACGTGAATATACAGAAATATACAAGAACTTGAATTTTCAGAAGACGAAACATGCTTTCATTTGCTATTCTGTTTTTCATCTGTGTATATAAAAATATGAATTTTGCATCAACATGCAGCTTATTTATAAGGAACGAGTAACCTTCGAATAGTCGAGTATTAGGATATGAAAATGGAAGGCTGCGTTTGCTTGCACTAGGGCTTGGTTTACTTTATGAATTTTATTGCCTTACTTATGTTATTTTTCCCAGTATTTGAGAATATACAAAAGAAATGAGGTTTTACGTGTTAGGTTATGTTGATATGGTGTACAAACAATAAACGTATAATTAACTTGACAATTGATCAGGTATTTGTGATATGATATTTCATCTAAAGAGAGTAGTATAATCTATATTAAACTATTTAAATACTATGAATATTCAAATAACTTAGTCAGTAGAGAAAATATTTGAATGGCCACCTATTGAAATCATATACACCAAACATTACAATTCTCCATGTTCTCCTAATACCAAAATGTAAAATTCATGCCCGAATTCAATATGTACCGAATATTCCTCGTGCCACCTCTTCACATTTCATGTTCTCCTAATACCAGAATGTAAAGATTGTCCTGAATTTCTATACGTACCAAAGATTCCTCGTCCACTTCTGCGCCTACGAGATGGCAACCCAGACAACAATCTAACAGGGGCACACTACGCACCTACTTGGTAACAACCAGAGGTACAGCCCGATCGGTGGGTTGCATTGGTTCATCTTACTGTACTGTGGGTACTTGGTTCATCTCTAACTGTACTATTCCAAACTTTACATTTCGGAATCAGGAGAACGTGATATGCGAAGAGGTGGCACGTCTGCGCCTAGGAGCAGACAACCGGCCCGACACTTCGGTAAGTATAGGTTGCATAGTTTAAGGGGCCGCCTCTCGGTACGTATTGGAATTCTGGCCAATTTCACATTTTGGTATCAGGAGCACATAATATGCGAAAAGGTGGCACGTCTGCGCCTAGGAGCAGGCAACCGGCCCGAC